ACTTGGAACGCACGAAGTGCAATCGTCGTTACGTCTTCAGAATCTTAGGCGATCGCAACCAGTTTCCGGCAGAGGGCGGAGACGGCGCTCGCAAGGGCGCTGAGGCCTTCCGCTCCGTGCTTCCTGCACGAGACCGGCAAGGCGGCGTGCACAGGGCCTTCCACAGAATGACTACAAGACCTTTCTTGCAACATATAAATACATTCGTTGAAGAGGGACATGTTTTCGAATCCAAATTATTGCAATTGTCTACTGAAAGTGTACGTGCTGCTCCTAAAATCTAATTCCCTCTTTAGAAGACAGACATTCTTGACATGTGTCATATGATGGAACGTGGCAAAAGAGGGGGGTCACACGTCTCCGAATGGCATTGGTATTGTTATTGATGTCTTTATTGCGATTGTTTTGGATTACTAAGTCATGTTCACATATTGCCTTGACCGTGTTACAGCACTGAAAAATTTGGGCATTGAAATTGCTGAGGTTGGCATTTGGTATAAAGACCACTAAGTTACAAGATTGTCAACAATTATTTTGGTAGTGCAAATGCAATGGTAAAGGATACTGCTCTGATATTGTGGAACAGACCCATAAAAGATAAATATATTCGTTCCACATAGACGACTGGTGATGCTGACGCAGCCTCAAGTATTTCTAAATTCTAGCAAGGTGTATGATGTCTCTATTGAAAAGCAAGAATGTGTGAACCATGTAGCAAAAAGACTGGGAACAGCTCTTTGTAACTTGGTTCGGGAATGGAAATGTTAGGGAGTCTCACTAGGTGGAAAGAAAGATGGTAAAAGGAAGTACCATCGAGAAACGGACCAGCTACTACAGGCATGCAATTGTTTCTAATGTTCCGAACACTGATAAGATGAAAGGGGTTATTTATTCCACCTTGAGGCATTGCATTTTAACAGACGAAAAGCCTCAACGTAACACTTGCCCTATAGGTCTCGACTCCTGGTGGTGGTACAACCGACAGAAAATTGAAGGCTGTGTTGACACAAAAAATTGATATCACTCACCAGATGTGGTAACAAATGTTTCCTATTTATAAAAGACTGGCTTTAGACGAACTTCTAAAGAGCTGTGTAAAAGGCCAAACCCAGAATGCTAATGAGAGTCTCCAAAGTTCTAGTATTTAGGCAAGATGCCCAAAGGAAATTTTTGTTTCCAACAATAAACTGGAACTTGCTGTGAAGGCAGCAAGAGAATTTCACATGGGATCTGTTGAAACACTACATTTCATTAACTCCCTTCAAGATATTGAAAATATATCAGCACTTATTTGAAAAAGGCAATAGCAGAGACATGGATGAAATACAATTCGCAAACATACAGTCACCTTGTTCGATATATGCAACGTAGATGACAGGCAGTTATTAGAGCAAGGGGATATTCCACAAAATATTGTGAATTATTCAAGTGTACGAATAGTAATGATAATAGTTTTTGAGGTATTATTATTACATTGCTCTTTAATGTCTATGTTCTTTAGCTGCTTTAAGATTGGTTTTTATATTGTGTTTACATTATGATTGACATTCTCCAAAACAAATTTGGTTTCTTGAACTATCGAACTCCTGTGCACTTTCATTGTATCCCAACCACACCTGTACGAACAGTGGTATACACTGTACGAACAGTGGTATACACTGTACGACCAGACGTGACCGCTCGCGCTATGCAATTCAAACACAGAAAGGCGTCTGTATGCTCGCGAGCATGCGGACGCGGTTTCGAGTAACGCCTGTGCATGTTGCGATGCTTATAACACAAGCGAAGCAAACTGTCGACAGCGAGCAGCCTGCTGCTTTACGAAGCCACGATTAGGCCCATTATGAACTACGCCTGCCACGGTTGTGGAATAACGTCGCACATGCACTTAGACAAGCGGGCAAAACGCCAATACTGACAACATTATTGCAGTAAACAACGCCACAAGCGCGCCGAACGGCTATTGCCTTTCCTGACATTGTTTTATCCTACGTTACAGATCACCCTTAGATGGCCGAAAGTATAAGGGTGGCTAAAATGCAGGGAAGCGTGACAACTTTGCACTTCGCGGCCACACGGAGCTGGGATCCACAGCGGAGAATTGAACGTGTAAATCAACTGAGTCGGGAATAGGTGAACTCGATTTTGCCTCATCAAAATTTTAGAACTTAATTATGCGATTGTGACATTAATTCTAGACAACAGTGCAATAATCGAAAATGTTATCAACTTTTCAGTCCTGAACACAAATTGCAACCATTCAGTAATCATCCTACTGATCTGGCAGTCGACATTCTACGAGGCGGACGTAAAATTTACAATTTTGTTACCTACTATTTTCAACGATTTGACTGTAGTATGTTTAAGTGCTTACATTATTCTTGCAGGTTAGCTGGATAGATAATTTCGACGGATTATTTGCCACATTACAACCAAGACGAACCAGCAGATTACCGAGGTACAGTGGTATCGATGAAACAGGTATTCCTGAGACCTCAGGGACAAGTGTCTGTTGCGAATGTGTTCAGACTGTCAGAGAAATACAGAATTCTCTTAAAAATAATAATATGCTGAAAGACTCCCTTTTAAAGCGTATTCCAAATGCTAACCAAAGTTTATTCTTGTCTCTCAAAGCTGATAGGGAGGAGAAATTAGTTGACGACAGACTAAACTGGATAGAAGTAATGCCACAATATTAAATATTTTGTATGTGCTTTGTTTTTTTTTATTACTGGAGCTATCGTTTAATTAAGTCTTAGGAGTATTATGAAATGTATTTAAGTTTTTTGTTTTTCATTATCTAGACTACGATACAAACACCACAGGAAGTTTAATTCAAGTATTTGACAAATATATAACATTATTTCATCTACATAACATTCATAATATTATATAACTTACATTTCTATGTTTCTCTATATAAAAAAAATTTACGTGTCCTACTTCTATTTCAATCGCTTCTCTCTAGTATTAATGGCTTAACCCCCCCCCACTTTGTTCTTTCTTCCGTTTTCTAGAATGTTAATATATTTTCCAAAAAATTGTATATTTATTTGTAACCTTTATCATAATCTTGCTGTTAATGTTTTGTTTTTTCTTCTTGTATCAGACAATTGATGATCATGGCTAAGCCATCGAAAGCTGCTATTGCATTAAATAATATTGTTGGCAATGACAACGTCTTTAATTATTTTATTATTTCATCCATTACCTCACAAGGAACAATGTGCACCCCGGGGGACGAGAGACGATAATGGTGAAGTATGTTGCACAGGTATTGAGCCAATGTGTGCTGGGCGTATGCGAACTGTTGCACGTATGAGGAACTTCGGGAACGATGAGTATGAAATCGTAGGAGCTGAAGAATCAGCCAATGTTATTGCGAATTTCGGCAGACTGATTATTCAACCTGGTCTCACAAACACTACGACTACAAAAAAGAGGAAACACGTGCACCCGTCAAACCAAAGGGTTTCAGTCCAGTCGGTGAACTTCTTACTCATTTTCAAATTTTCCCGCGAACGAACAGGTTGATTACCATTGAATTCCGACGGTAACATTCAACGACCGATCGTTGTATGTTCCCGTCCTGTTCGTAGGACCGTTAACGCCGTATTGCAGTCAGTGAATTAGAGAAATTAAGTGATTTATTGCTGTTTGAAGTCTGAAGCGTGCATTATGGCTTCGAGAAGATGCTGGGTGCCTAACTGTAAAAATGCGAAAGCGAAATTAGCAATAAAAAAACAAGTTTATTTGGGTTCCCAAGAAATTACATTAATTTTATCTTTCGTTTTTATGCATGTAGTTCGTTGATGAATACTGCTTGTGTTTTATAATTATGTTGAATGGTGTCTGTAAAATTAATTTATTGTTTTAGATGTAGAGAATGGCTTAAGGCAATTGGTGACCCTGCTCTCGCCAAATGCACTTGGCAGCACCTCAGAGTAAATTTATTTGTATGGAACATTTTCTGGAACAGTAAAATTTCCGGAACCACAAAATTGCCTTTGCGAAGAAGCATTGAAGGATTTTGATGCAAGCGTTCCAGTAAAAGAGACATCTTTCTTCTTTTTTTCCAATGTAGTCAGGGATTTCAATAGTCGTTAAGTGATTCTCCGATGTTTATTTTCATTTCCAGATATCCACATTCGAAGTCCGTCTCCAATTTCAGTGGATGTTACTTATGGTTAAAATTATTTTCAATACAAATAAGAATAATTTATTTGTTCAGAGAACAGTTTGTGGCAATATGCATTGTGATAAAATAGTAAATAATTCAATACAAGTTTTTCTCAGCAGCAGATTTTGTTTTTCAGACTTTTGAGAGCCTTCTGTGAAAGTGGTGCAGTGTGCTCTAAATCAAGACTACTAGCTAAATCCAAGTTCATTTTTTTGCACTACTGCTAAGTGGGACAACGCTAAATTTTCAGATAAAACTTTGAAAGCAACAAAAACAAAATAAAATACGTTTATGTAACCTAGGCCCGGTTTCACCAACAGCAGAGTAAAGTTGAGAGTAGTTACCCGAGAGTAAGCATTTACTCTAAGATAGTAACTCTGAAGTAAAATATGAGCGTTTCATCATGCTTCTAGAGGGTTATTTTACTCTAGAGTACATACTCTCCGATTTACTCCGCGAACCGCTGAACGCGCAATTTTTCATACACAGTGGATAGCGATTCAAGAGGCCGTGAGCGTGGGTGACGCTATGAACCAAGGCGAATCAACGCTAACAACTGTTTATTTCGTTGTTCCATCGTCCATAGTTTCGGAGTTCTTGGCGGCGTCTTGTGGTGTTTTTTGCGTCGTGTGTGCTGTTTTGGTTATTTCAGTGTAGATTATTTCTTAGTTTTTCCAACCTTATTTGTTAGTCTTTGTAGTCTTGCTGTCTCTATTAATATTTACTTCAGTTATTGTTATTTTCTTGTGTAAATTTATTAATCCTCTTTATTTCCGTCTACTTGTAGTTTCGTTATTTTTAATTTTTATTGTTTTTATCATTTTTTCGTAGTTTTATAATAAATTCCCCCCCAAAAAGTTCTTATTGTAATTTTAGTTTGCTTTTCTGTTACATTAGTTACTAGTTTAGCTCTAACGTATTTTTCATTATCTTTTAATTTACCCCCCAAAAATTGTAAAGTAGTAAAATTTAGTAGTCTTTTTAGTTTAATTTAGTTTTTCGTAATCACAAGTGGTGCCACAAGATGTCACAAGTGGCAGAAAAGCGCCAAAGATGTCCAAATTGGCATGCTTCGGAAAAGCAATTGCTTGTTATGCTTGTCAAAGAACATTTTTCGACAGTGGAAATGAAGAAGACGAACGCATCGTCAAAACTAGAAAAAGCTCGGGGTTGGCTAAAGATCGCAAGGATTTATAATTCTCGGACATCTTTGGCCCACAGGGAAGCACTTTGCAGAAAGAGTGGTGTAATCTGAAAAAAAATGCTAAGAAGCTTTTGGGAAATTTGATAATGGAGGCAAATAACACAGGTAAAAAGAAGATTCATGTGTATTAAATGTAAATCAGCATTGTTAATAACCTAATAACTATGATGTATTTTGATTTGAATAGGTGGTGGACCCTCAAAATTGAGACCCCTCCCTCCATTGTACGAGAAAATAAATCAGTTAATTGGTAGAGCTGCAGAGGGCTATCATAATCCATATGATGCAGATGCTGGAATGATTCAGCCTACATCAGGTTTGTAAATCATTCATTCTTTTAACTGTTTCATTATTATTTGATATATTTTTTTCTGTGCTGAATCTCTTCAAGTGAAGTGTTACTCTGATGTATTTTAAAATGGGTAACATTTACAAAGCATAACAGAATGTTGACATGCTCCTTAAAGGAAAGAAATGATTTAAATTACATAACTTTTAGATGCAAGCTATCTTGGTGATAAATATACTTTTTCATATAAGCGTTCAAAAGGTTGAGAAGTGTGAGAGTATGCAGCCCTGAGCATACTTCCAGTGGCACAACACTGGATATATTGACATGATAGTTTCTGAAGTTTCAAACTTTATTCTTTAAGAAACGTGTGAGGAGACTCGTCAACCTGTAGAGGAGCAGCAACAGCAACTAGAAGAGGTGGAAGAGGAAGGAGATGATGCTGCTGCTGAATTTACAATTCAACCGGAGTTAGAGTTTCCGGAAAGAAGCGAGACTGAGGGAAAGTGATTTTCGTGAGTTATTCTATTTTCAATTGTATTTTGTGTTTCTTGCTTCTACACACAAATGATCACGAGCAAAATGCAATGTCCAGTGTAATATGTTACTAGTTATAAATTTTCATGTATTAATGATTCTATTTTTATTTATTTTATGAAGGTTTACAACTGGGCTTCGTATAATCCTGGAATGCTGCGTTCCCCAGTCTCAGCCTCATTAATAGCGGCAGATGTTATTGAGGTTGTACACAACGGAGGGGAACCTGAAACGCCCAATTCGTGCCCAAATAACAGGAAAAATAGGAGGCGACCCACCATGGCAAAAAGTAGTGTAGAACGCCTACACGAGAAAAAATTGAAGCAATAGAGCTTCAAATGAAGCATGCCGAAGAGGAGAAGGAGGCAGCAATGAAATTAAATTTACTGGAAAGAGAACTAAAGAAAGAGAAGATTAGGCAGGAGAAAATAAAGACCCGAATGCTTCTAAAAGAGTTAAAAAATATGTAAAAATAAAAAAAAACATGATTTACACCAGAGTAAACTCTTACTCCTTGTTTGGTGAAACCGGCCCCTAATCAGATACTACTGATCTTAATGTAACAGTACATAATTAAATAATTTGTATTCTTGGATTAAAATAAAATGAAAGGCAGTAATACCACTTAAAAAGCATGGTGAAAGTGACTTTATTTTGCTGGTAGAAATGGGGCACCTGACTTATTTGCGTAATGGCGCTACCTTTCCTACGCGCAAAATGAAATGGCATTTTCACCTCGTGTATCATAACTATTTGTGTTACCTGGAGAAATGTGCGGTAGAATTTTCATTTGTTTCTTTTCAATTCTGTTCATATTGTTCAAGCATAATGTTGTAATAATGTAGTATTCCATAGTATTCACATTACTATGACGTATCTACAAACAAATACTAAAACTGCATTTGAGCAGGTGTACTGTTTATTACCTTGTGTAATACAAAATTACACAGGTCAACAGGGATTTTGCTGTCTTTTTATAGTAAATTCAATGTTCTGATTCCAAAAACGACGTCCATTTAGTCCTATCACATACCGTTTTCTTACAAAATTAAAATCTTCATTTTTTATTTGGCTATTGTTTTGTGACCATAATCCGTTACACCATGAAAACAATGACATATGGGAATAAATCTACTTAAATGAACAAATTGTTTTGGAGGTAGATGGCAGCACATCCTAAGCTGCTTCCACCTTTTTTGTGTAGTGAATTTATCTGTGCAAGCTATAATAGTTGTTCTGTAAAGCAAGAAATTAACATTTAAGTGCTACCATTTTCTTGTTTGTATCATATGTATTGTAATTTCGTACAGAATGGAAAGGTGTTGTGTAAATAATCCAAATTCATTTTGCTATATTTGTGGTAGTTTTATTGTGGAGAAGCAGAGAAGAAACATAACCTCATTTGTAACAAAAGCTTACATGGCATAGAAGAAGTCCGATAGAAACTATCGAACCACCACCCCAGCCAGAAGAGAGCCATGATGAAGACACTCGTCCACCGCGCCAGACGGATATGTTAAGATAACAACATTCACCAAGAACTCGGCCATCTGGAAAATGCTCTTCAAGTCAATGGATATTTAATCCAAGAGGTGAAGAAAGCACTACGACCTAACAACACAGCACGCAGTCCTCCCGAAAGTAACTTTCACAAGGTCACACTACCGTTTATCAAGAACATTACGGACCGTTTGGCAAGATTTTGAAGCACCAACCATTTTCACCCCCACCACTCAGCTCCGCGATCTCTTTAGGTCGGTTGAAGACCGTAGAGGCACGCTTATGACGGATGGTGTCTACAGGATACACTGTTCCTGTGGCTCTGTGAACATTGGTACAACGCCGCGTTCAATCAACACTCGCCTCACCGAACACAAACGAAATTGCCGCTTGGGATACACAGAAAAATCAGCGGTGGCTGAAGATGCCCTCTCGGGAAGAGAACATGACATCCTGTTCTCTGACACGGAAGTACTATCCACCACCAACCACCTTCACACCAGATTGCAACGGGAAGCTATTGAGATATTCAAGCACCACAATAATTTCAACAGGAAAGAAGAAGGTATCAAAATCAACTCTACCTGGTATCCCGTTCTGCGCAACAATATTAAAAAACCTTACAAGAACAAAATAACCCAATCTAACCACAACGCAATCGACAGCCAACCAGGAGCCAGCCCGCGAACCATCACCCAATCGCAGCTAGCGCGCGAATTCACCACTGCGGCGCCCCCCTCCCGCCGACTATAAAAGCTGCGGCCGCGTGGAGCGCAGCGCCAGACGCCAGCCAGCTGCCGCCGAGACGCCACACGACAGCGACAGCCGAGACGAGACGGTCTGTTAAAGAGTCAGCTCCGTCAACGTTCTCGTTTCGATTTCTCGTCGTAACGTTAAGCCAGCAATAAGCTCGCGCCATCTATCGCCTCAAGAAGACGCCACTACTTCGAGTTGTCGGTACCCTTCGACTTCTCTAAAGTGCCTAGAAGCCAGTTCTTACAAGCGTGCGAGGAATCTTCGCGCCGAAGCCGGGAGAAGAACTTTCTTCGAGGACTACGCCTTCGGCCGTACTCCTCCGGCAGGATGGAAGAACCGGACAACGAAACCAGTACGCCCAGCGACACCGAAGCAGAGACTAGGCAAATTACCGCGGCCAAGCGCTCCCGTTCCCCACACACCAGTGGTATAACCCCACCTCTCCAGAAAGCAAAAATCCCCCCCCACCACCACCACCCTCACCCAAGAAAATCCTCAATGACGGATTTATATTCCCAAAGCACACCGCCAAAGCACCCGAAAACCCCTCTGAAACACCGATTCCTAGCAGCAACTCCTTCTCATCTCTCCCTATCGAGGAACATCCCGCCCAATCAACCTCTTCTTCTGAACCTCCAGCTCCTGAACCTACCCCAACCCCAAATAATCCGACACCTCCCCCGACTTCCAGACCCAGAATTGGCACCATCTTTATCTCCACAGCTGACATCCTCGATGGACAAGACCTCATATTAGAACTCCAAAAATGTACCACAGAGAAAATCCAAGCCAGATACACCAAAGACAACATAATTATCACCCCCAAATCCATCCTTGCCCACCAAAAACTCACCTCACGTCTCCAAGAAATCAAATCCACCCCTAACCTTCGACAACTCTTCTTTTCGGCCCCATCTAACTACCACTACCATAGAGCTACCCCCGAAACCCGTGACAAACTTATCCTTAAAGGTCTCCCTCCTAAACAAAATACCTCAGAAATGCTCCAAGAAATTCATAGCCAAAATTTTACCTGCTTTCACCTCTGCGAAATGATCCGCCACAACCCTGACAAATCCACCACCAACCTCAGCATCTATGTAATTGAAGTTCCCAAACACCAAATTCCCCAGATAAAATCCAACCTCCGCTACCTCTGCCTGCACCGTGTAACCATTGAACCTTACAAACCCAACAACCGAATCCCAAGATGTACAAATTGCCTACTCTTCAACCACACCCGATCCTACTGTCATAGAACCCCAACCTGCTGCTACTGCGCCCAATCCCATCCCACTGACAACTGCCCCAACCTATCACAAGCCAACTTCAAACCCCTGTGTATCAACTGCAACAACGAACACCCTGCCAATGACCCTCAATGCCCCACCCTCATCCAATACCAACAACAAAGAGCAATCAACCTACAAAAAATTCAATCCATCAGACAATCCCTCCCCAACAACAACGCCGCCAACCTCCAACAATCCTCATTCCCTTCCCTCCCCACCAGATCCTACGCAAACACAGTAACAACCCCAACCCCTTCGTCACAAAACCCTTCATCACCTACCTCTGAAACAACATCCACCACCACCGCTACTCTGCGGGGGTCACAGGATCTTTGGGTTACGTGATGTCCCCATTTGTTCAAATAGTATAAACGCAACAATTTTATGTCTGCGGCACATCTATGAGAGGGGAAATTTACACGGTGAAGTTATATAGTTTACCTATGGGAAGTCGACTGGCAACTTTATAGAGTACATTATCTCGCAAGGAACCACGTGCGCCCCGAGGGACGAGTGAAGATGAGGGTGAAGTACGTTGCACAGGTCTTGGGCCAGAGTTGTGCTGAGCATATGCGAATATGAGCATGGGGCGATGGGTACGAAATTGTAGGAGCCGAAGAATCAGCCAATGCTATTGCGAATTTCGGCAGGCTGATTATTCAACCGAACCTCACAAACGCGAAGACTACATAAAAGAGGAAACATACGCCTTGTCAAACCAAAAGGTTTCATGCAGAATGATTGTCAAAGAGGGCTCTGGACACTGAAATTTGGCGATAAATTATTAAAAAACTCAGATTTAAGTTTTGGGCGTGGAGTAGGAAATAAAATTCACGCCGATGGTACAAAAACGTGCCTTTCACTCACGACGAACTACTTTCCAGACGGCTTACATATGGACTTTAACAGCTGGTATTGGATGATGTAAAGGTCTTAACTTACGGAGGTTAAATCAATACTGCGGAAAATTTATTTTCCATCATCCGGCAGCATCGTGTAACCAATACCAACCTTACTTGCAATATTTTAACTCAAGTCCTGAAAATAGCTGTGCTCAGCAGACTTGCCGGCTCTCCACGGTGAGAGAGAAATTGTCAAGAAGACGACAGTAAAATTTCATCAGACCTGAAGTATTTTGTGGGAAGGACTATTTCTACACCACCAAAAAAATGGACTTGGAGAAAGAGCCAGAGGATGAAGACAACATGAACAGTAATGTCCTCCACATTCCCGATGATGGCCCAGCAACAGAGGATCCCACAGAAACACGATTAGCTTTTCCACAGTACATCGCAACGTGGTATGTTGCTGCGTACATCGGCAGGCAAATGTTGCGAGCTTTGAAAGGTCGGAGTTGCCTTAAGTGCAAGAACTCTGTTTGCACAGATAGAGTGAGAGTTTCATACGTATATTCAAAGCCGGGTG